TTTTGGGACTCCATGGTTTGGTCCTGGTCAGCTCTTCTTGTTCATCGTCCTCTGAGTCCTCCGGTTGTGAGTCCTCAGAGTCCGAGTCCTTGGCTGCGGTGAGGATCTTTTCCCTCTTTTCTTTGTGGCCGTGGCCTTTCGGCTCTTTGTGGATGTGGCCGATAAGGCTGGCGAAGGAGGTCTGGACCGGCCAGCTGCGTTAGGCAGTGACACAGTGTCCCTGGGCACAGGCCGAATTCCGGCTGCGCGCATCTCGTCTTCTCCGCTTCTTGGCGTGCAGCCAGCTCTCGTCTTGTGACGGATGGTCGAGAGGCTTCTCTACCGGCAACTTCTTTGGACCAGGCAGTTTGGCCTCAGGAGATCAAGTATGCCTCCTTGGCTCTGCCGGTCAACTTGTCTTTCGGCGGTCCAGCCGCTTTCTTTCTGTCTGGATCCCATTTTGTGCCCACGTCGTGACACATACAGAGACCGTTGGGTCTTCTGCAGGATGAACCCAGGAATTGTGAAGCGGATCGGCTCCGCCCGGTAGGCGTTAGTTGTTTCCAAAGTTCCGTCCTTGACCAATGCTAATAACTCATCAAGTATGACCTTTTCCAGTTCGTCCTGGTCCGCCTCTCCTTTGTAGTAGAGGCGTTAATGGTCCTGACAATGTCGACCAAGTTGGAGCCTCTTGGGTTGTGCAGGTAAGCGATGGTCCTGCATATCTGGTGAAGGCGTAATCCCGGCTTCACGGAAAGCCCTGCTGGCCGATGAGGCACGTGAAGCTCCATCATGCTGGTCCAGTCACGGTGCGTGCGGACCAGAAGTCCCGTCCAGGATAGAGTTACTACACGCCGCATGAAGGGTGCCGTTAGTACACGGTCCGCTGGCGGTAGCCCTCTGAATTCTTCTCCATGTGCCATTCTGGCTCGGAGAACTCGGACGAGACATTGGTACATGTCTCTTCCTGTTGTACGTCTCATGATCCTGGCCGCTGCCGCCCATTGGCGCACATATGGACCCGTTGGGATCTCAATGTGCGTGGCCTCCGGTCCAGGGTCGGGAAGCTCAACTTCGTCGTCCGCCGGCGCGGGAGCATTGTTTCCTCCGAAGGCGGTTCACCGTCGGGAACTGGCTCGAATTCCTCTTCTTGCCATGGACGATATTGTGGTGGCTCTTGTGGCTTGTCCATACTGTCCGATAGGACTTGGACATCTTCATCGCCTGACAGCCGTTTTCGAGCTGGGCGATCTTGGCCTCTTGACTTTTCTTGTCCTTTGGCCGCTTGTTTCTTCTGGCGGTTCCGTTCGGCCTCTGGGTTCGATGTTGGCCGAGATGTGGCCGCCTGACTTCCCACTCGGTTGAGGGAGTTTGGACGAGTGGCCGGTTTGGCCCTCGGATTGTGGGGAGAAGTTGGACGAGAGGCCGGTTTGGCCCTCTCTGGATTTTTGGCTTTTCTCGGCTGCTTACTCCGTTGGGAGTTAGCTGAGTGAATCACACCCAGGCCGAGTGCGAAATTCTCCATTGTCCCTGTTGCAGGGAAAGTAACTGGACGGCCAAAAGGTATATCGTCGATGCTGGCTGGCATGTTCGTCAAGTTTATCGGAGCAGCGGCCGTTGGCCCTGTTCCGGACTGACTTCTGGCCTGCCGATTCTTGTGCCGACGAAGTGGCCTTCGGTGGCTCCTCCTGTTGGACTGGTTTTGGCTGTGGCTCTATGGCCACAGGTCCGGGCGGAGAAGTATCCATTGGTTCAGCTGGGGGTGCCTGCGTCTTTGGCGGTACCACAATCAGTGGGGCACTTGACAGCAGGGCTTCAGTCATCATTGGGTCTTGCTCCGGTGGGGAAAGGCTTTTGGTTGCGACGGGTCGGTAATCTTTTACCATTCGGTAAATTAATGGCGCGAGCATCTCGGATAACATGTCATATTCTTCCATGTTATTCTGCTCCTTCGCCTCCTGTCTCTTTGTGAGCAGGAACCGGTATCGCCGTCGCTCATTTTGGTCAGAGTGGACGTATAAGTGTCTCTGCTCGGTAGGAGTGAGAGCACTCATGGGCATCAGGGCCGAGTCAATTTCCACTTCTTGGTCCGAGACGGCCGGAGTTATCTGCACCATCATTCTGGCCGATTCTGCGACCACTGGTGCAGGAGTTCTAACCGTGACCGTTACTGGCTCAAGTGATGAACCTGCAGACACCGTAGGTGCTGCGATTCGTTCCACGGTAATGGTCATGGTTGGCTGCTGAGGAGGTGTGGTGTCCGTCCTCTCTTTGGTCGGGGATTTGCCTGGCCGGCTCGGTGTGAACCTGGCAGGCGCTGGTTCGATGGCCGGCATGCTGGGCATTCGCGCCGGGGTTGATGTGGCGCGTCCAGGAGAAGTCCGTTTTGATGGAGATCGGCTTTGGCGTGGCGATTCCTTCGTTGAAGGTAGCCGGACCTGACTGGTCTCATATAACGCCCTTTGGACGTTTTCGTCCAAGTCTTCCTCAATCTCCGACTCCTCGCTGGAGGAGACGCCCCAGAAGGCCGCAGGCAGTTGAGGCTGTTCGTCCTCACTTTCTGCCTCTTCCGGTGGAAGTTCGTCTTCCACTGGCTGGCCTGGTCGTGGGCGGGGTTCAACTGTCCATGCCCTTGGGTTAATGTGAGGGCCACGGATGTAGATGGCATGCTCGATGATTTCGCTAGGCAGCTTGCGTTGGCGAAGGGCCTGGCTTTTACTTCGCATGGCCATCAGTTTTCTGATGAGGATTGTACGTCCTTGGACCATCTGTTGACAGCCGCGGTTGATGCGGTCAATCTCTCGGTCCGTTAGTGTAGGATCGCCGGCGCGTAGTCGCTGGCGCATATCTTCCTCAGTCAGATTTAAGCGTAGATCAAGTTCTATGATCTCGCTTACAAGCCGGTTGTGCGGGTCATCCCATGACTCCGTTTGAGTCAATCGGATACGATGCCTCGTTGGAGGTTCGTCCCGCAATGGCTGTGTCGTTCCTGACGGAATCTTTGGTGCTTCCGGTGGGGAGAGCACGTGTCCCTTGCCAGGAAAAGTCTTTGGCGGCGACTTCTTCTTGGTCGGTAGACCGCGAAGTACTAAAGTCGGTGGTTCCGCCTTCTTTGGTTTAAGTATGGACCGGCCTGGCCTGGTAGGGCCAGGAACATCTGTGTCCGTTGGCGGGCCACTCCGCTCTGGTAGAGTGGGCCTTGTTGGGCGGTTCAACTCCAAGTTTTCTCTTGGCCCTCGCCAAGGTGGGAGTGACCGTTGTGAAGGAGGCTCTTCCGCTTCCGGGGGAGTCCTCTTCTTCTTCTTAAATCTAGGCGACTGTGGGCCACTTGTTGTGGCAGGAGTGGTCGGTTCTGGCCGTCCTCCTGTCGATTTCCTAGGCGTTGGCCGGACAACGAGGGTGCCACTTGATGTGTCGCCTTCAATTGGCTTCGGTGTAGGCTGTGGTGACGCCGTTGGCGCATCAACAGCCATTGGGCTTGTCGGTTCACCGGCCGGTTGGGCTGGTGTTGGCACTGGTTCAGCCGATTTTTCCGAGCAAAGCTCAAGGGTGTTATCGGGCAGGCTTACGTCCATTTCGACGTCCTGCGGTGGAACTTCTTTGCTGCTGTCCGCTGTGGCAGGTCCAGCAGTGTCCACGGGTTGGCTTGACGTTGGACCAGGCACCGGTAGGGCCTGGGCCAACTCAGTTGGGGTTGGCTGTCCAACTGATGTTGAGGCGGCCGGTACATATGTCAGGGCCAAAGGTGTTGGCGCAGACACCGGTGATGGTCGCCATTCGTTTACTGGATCGAAGTCACTGGGGCGTGCCGTCGTTGACGGGCCAGGTCGTTGGACCTTCCAGTAATCTTCGATGAATTCTCGGATCCATCTTGTGGTGTGGTCCATAACCGTTAACGATGGACCGGTAGGCATCGTATGGTTAGAGGTAAGACCTTTAAGCAGAGCCACCCGTTGGGCCAAGCTCTGTTGCTGTTCCGTCAGCCTGACCGCTTCTGGGTCGAACGGGCTGAGTTCTTGGATCCGGTTGGTTATGCGGCGTTCGACATCTCCAGCATCGCTGATAAGGTGCCGAATGCTCAGTGCTTGGACAACCGTCATTTGCATGGGCCCAGTGTCAGCTTCGCGTAACCGTTGGTTCGCTGCTGCCTGTTCATCATCCCATTGCTGACGTAAAGTCCGAGGGCCGGTCGATTGTCGTCATCCGGCTGGTTTAGTAGCGGGAAGTCGTCCGCGTAGGCCGTTCTGCCTCGCGTAACGTTGCCCGCATGATCGATTCCAGGCGTTCCGCTATGGCTGGTGGCGGCGCCAGTGAAGTTGGCCTCGGGTGGACCTGTCGTTCTGGCGCGACCAGGTGATCAGGCGGAGCTGTAAGTCCTGGTACAGGGATTGGGTCTGGCATGTCGAACCACTCAATGTCGCTGTCGGTTTCTGTGTCCGACGCGCTGGCTGGTCGACTTAAGTGCTGGTCCGGCTGCAAATCGTTCAGCCGAGATCCGCATAATTCTCGAGACTCGCATCCTCAATTCTTCTGCCGGTTGGCGTGTTGAGGACCGTGTCGGTATGAGAAGTCCAGTTTGTCCGACGCGTGTTGGCTGCCCCGGTCGGGGTTTGGGTAACACGCGCCTAAGTGCTTCGTCGATCAGGCCAAGCTGGTATTGCCGGTTACGGAAATCGCGCAATGATGGTGCGTCGTTGGCCGTATCCAACGGCTTATCCATAAACCGAAGCATGGCCCGTCTAATCCTGGTATGTATTCCAGGACGCGTTGGAATTCTAAGTCCAACGCGACTTTTCTCCGTAAAGTGGCAATATCCACTCCTTCAGGCTACTGACAACCTTACGGATTTCCTCTTCGAGGCGTTCCGCGGCGTGGAGTTCACGCTCCAAGGGAGGTATGTCTGGATAGCCCTTAAGTCATACGGAGAAGATGCTGGTTCACGCGGTTCCAATCCAGTGGCCGTCAGCATTGCCTCGTCGGTAGACGTAGGCTGGGCCACTGGTGGCGCGGAAGATTCCCCTAGTCGTAGCGGTAACTACGACTGTTGGGTTCAATGGTGGAGGTGGTGCTGATGGTGCTGGTGGCGGACGTGTTGGTGCTGCGGATCCTTCGGTCCTCAGCTGTCTTTCCGTCCGATACTGTTCCAGCTGGTCTCTCAGCCTGCGAGATGCCGCCAGCAGTGCCTGACCAGTTTGGTCATGCAAGGGAAATATCTCGTTTTGAGCTTGGCGGGTCGCTATTTCCTCACTAAGTTCATGAGCGAGACGCCGGAATTCGTCTTGATCGAGAATGATGCGCTGAGCCATCTCACGGTAGTGAGGGCTGCGGCTGTCCAATTCTCGAATCATGGCCTCCAATTCTTGGATGGCGTTCTCTACTTCCTTCAGATTGTCCTGAAGTTGGTAGAGTGGAGTCCGGCCGTCGGCCAAGAGGTTCAATGGGGATTCAATCCGCAATGGTGGGAGTAGTTGGGTCCCATTGGACGTCCCTTCATCTTCCGGCTCTGGCGAAGACACAGAATTCTGTCGGTGGGACAGTCTGGTCACGCCTTATTACACACACTGGATTCAGTGGTGGTTGTGCTGCCGGTGCCGGTTCGGTTAGGCCAAGTTGGGCCGCCAGTTCCGGTGGAACCTCTTCTGGCCGGTTATATATGGTGAGCCGTCCATTCACAAATACCCGTAATGGGTAATCACTTGGCTCGTTGAGCTGTGATGTGCTTGGCTGGGTTTCCGGCGGCGCTGGAGTTCGATACGCGTCCGGTCCCGCTCGTGGAGGCTCAATGGATGAGTCAGACGGCGCCTGGCCCGTTGGGTCAGGTTGTGCCGCTGAAGGTGGGCTATACGGCGGTTGGCCGTATGCTCCATATCCGCCATAAGGCGGTGGATATCCATAAGGTGTAGGCGGATACATCCACGGTGGTGGGTATCGCCACTGATTCGGATCCGGCTGCGGCTGGTTTGAAGGTCCAGGCGCAGGGTATGGTGGATATCCATAGTAAGGGTTATGGTATGGAGGCGGAGTGTACTGTGGCCGCGGTCCAGTATGGACCGGTGTAGTCGTGACCGTTGGCCCGACTGCCGCAGTGGTGAAAACTGGCTGACTCGCCGAAGTGGTCGGTAGGCCACCATACCGAATTGGCTGATGTGAGCCGGTACGGCCGTGAGGATAGCGTCGGACCGTTTGGCCCGACGTAGAGCTTAGCTGGCTGCCGGCTACTGCTGCATTCACCAGAGTCCAGTCACGTCAGAGAATGTCCCTGGCGGCCAAAGTTGTGGCGGTATGGCTCGAGGTGGCAGAGGCTGTGACCGCGGTAGCGGTGTGTCGTAGAACTGGGGCCGACTGACATAGTTGCCAGCTGCTCGGCGGTTAGGTTGGCCTAATATTAGGTACCTGTACACTCGGAGGCCGGTTAGACGACCGAGTGGAAGATCCGCCGACCGGGATTCCGGTCGTGAGTATGGATGTGTGCGGTTACTGCGGTCGGAGTCATCAGAGCGATCAGTGCGTCGGCGTCCGTCCATCGTTGAATGGGGCGCTGTCACGAGACGAATCACGCGGTGTTAGACTCCTACCTACTGTGTTAGTTCAAAGTACGGCTAGCTAATTCTTAAGCTACCATGTCAGACCAACTTAGGCTACTTTTAGGCTACTGGTCTTTTAGATTTAGATTAGTTAATTTTAGGTTAGTTAATTTCGGTAGCAGCTCACGAAGATGATCGTGGGACTTTAGGTTAGTTAGACTAATTCTAAGTCTGAATTAATTATGCGTCATTCTGTCCAGCCTGATTAGCCGCCTTGTCCAGTACATCCGGTGGGACTGTACTGGACTTGTCCGATACGTCCGGTAGGACCGTATTGGACTTCTGCTTGCCCTTTGAGACTTTCTCTGATTTTCCCGTCCTGTGGTTATGCGGGTGAGCAAGTCTTTTTCCGCCTCATCTTCAGCAACTACGTCCTCTTCCAGGACTTGCTGGGCCGTAAGGGTGCCTTAGGCTTCTTGGGCGTCTTTGGTTTCTTGGGCTTTTCCTTGGGCGTCAGGGCCACCTTTGGCCCTTCGGTCGCCGCTGGCTTGTCCGTAGCGGATGTTCCTTTTTCTGGTTCCGCCGGGGCCAAAGTCGGGTCAATAGCGGCCAATGGCTGGTTTTGGAGTTTTTGAAGCGCCGGTGTCTCGAAATCCGGTTTGGCCTTTCGAGGTCGGCCTGGGCCACGCTTTACTGGTGGCTCTGGGTCTGATGTCTTTGGGTCAGGTGGGCCATAGCCGGGGATTCGCAAAGTCTTTTGCTGCTCCGCCACAAGTTTCTTGGACGGGCCCTTTCCGGGCTTCTGCTTTTTGAGCAGCGTCTCAAGTTTGCTCTGGGCATGTGGGAGCTCTACATCTTGTCCTGGCTCTGCCTTGTTGTTGCACCTTTCCGACTCTGTGGGTTCAGGTTCTGCGTCGCCGCTCTTCTTCTTGGATGAGCGTGTTATTCTGCGACTCGGGCCGTCCGGGTTAAGGTACGGCTTAAGGCGATCGACACATACGGTGTGTTCTACACCGGTGTCCCGCTCTCGGATCCAGTAAGTATTCGGCTTAGGTATGCCGATGATGGTGTAGACGCCTTCGAACTTGTTTGGATTGGTCGGGTCGTCCACCATGTTCTTTAGGGTGACCAAGTCCCGTTTCTTGAACTCGGCCTGCGACTTCTTTTTGTTGTAGATGGCCGCATCCCTTAGGAACCCTTCTTCGATCCGCGTTTTGGCAATTTCATGCGCCCGGTTCAGGCGCTGCTGCATCCTCTTGACGTAACGTTCGTTAGTCGTAAAAGTTTCTGGGACGTTGGTCCCAGCGAGGACGTCTTGCGGTATCGTCATTTCTCGTCCAAACAGCATGTGGTATGGCGAGAATCCAGTGGTTGCGTGAACGGCACGGTTCATGCCGGAGATCACGTACGGTAGGGCCCGGTGCCAACGATGTTCATCGCCGGCGCCGCCAAAGTTTCGAATTCCGTCCCAGATGGTTTGCATCTGGCGTTCGACTTGGCCTTGGCCCTCCGGATGATAAGCGGATCCGAAGGTCTGCTCAATGCCGAAGATTTTCGCCACTTTGGCGAAAGATTTTGCCGTGAAATGCGTGCCCCGGTCGGAGTGCATTGTATGTGGCATGCCGTACTTTAGTACGACTTCTTCGACAAAGAACTTCTCAAATTCCTTGGCCGAGTTTGTCTTGGTCGGCCGAGCTATGGTGAACTTCGTCATTTGATCGACCACCACAGCAATGTACCGGTATTTCTTTGTTTGTGTTACCGGTAGAGGTCCTTTGAAGTCGGCGAAGACGCGATACCATGGCGCAACAGCTTCAGTCGGCTGCAGCATACCGTAGGTAGCTCGCCGCGGTACTTTGCCGAAAATGCACGTCTGACATCGGTCGATGTAGTCGTGTATGTCGCAACTCATGCAGTCCCAGTAGTACCGGAGTTTGGCTGCTTCAATGGTCTTGCGGTATCCAAAATGGTTCCCTGTTTTTCCGTCATGGAGGGACTGGATAATGTTTTCCGCATGAACAGAGGACAACGAACCTCCTTTCGAGTTTCGCATTGATGTCGGTGAGTCGGTAGAGCACACCTTTGTCCATCTGGTAATGTTCAGGTAGTTTGGACCTCTTGTCCAGTTCGCTTTGATGTTCCAACTCATAGATTTTCTTGGCCAGAGTTGGATCACGGTGTTGCATCCGTCGCAGTTCTTGCGCGGTGCGGTCCGTAACTTTTCTGGACACGGTGGGACTTCGGGCTCTGGCTCTCCCGGTGCGGGCGCCGGTACATTGATGACCCGTATGTCCGCCGTGCTGAATTGATCCCAATCTGTAATTGCGTTGCAATCGGGAAGGAGAAGCTTATCCCATTCGGTTGCGGGGTCCTCGTCCGTGACTTGCAGCCTGCGCACCTTTATGATGCGTGCTGGAATCTCGTCCTTATAATCCTCGAAGTTAGGGACTTGGTCCAACTCTTCGTGTGGGCCTTTGTCGTCGTCCCGTTCGAGTGGCCATCTGGACAATGCATCAGCATTGTCACAGAATGTGCCTGGCTTGTACTCAATGGTGATGTCCCTTCCTGTAAGGCGAGGGCCCATCGAGTAAGACGAGGATTGATGCCGGGCCGGTTAGACTCGCATCTGAGCAGATTGGTTAGGGCTCTGTGGTCCGTCCTTACGGTAAATGGTCCGTGGTCGATGTAGTGTTTGAATTTTTGGACGGCCCACACTACGGCTAAGCATTCCCATTCGGTTACGCCGTAGTTCTTCTCAGCTCCATGTAGGACGCGGCTTGCGTAGGCAGTGGCCTCGAGTCCTGGCTGAGTATGGCTCCGATGCCAGCGCCACTTGCATCACATTCGATGGTGGTCTGCTTAGTTGCATCGAATTTGGCCAATATTGGGGCTTCCGTTAGGGCCTTTTTGATTTCGTTGAACTCAGCGGTGTGGGCGTCGGTCCAGTCGTTTTTCACTGAACTTTCCTTCCGCAGGAGTTCATACATCTTGGAAGTCTTCTGGGCGTAGCCTGAATAAACATCCGGTAGTAGTTAGCGAGTCCAAGGAACGAGCGAAGTTGACGCTCGGTCTTGGGCGGTAGTTTCTCGGCGATGGCCGCTACCTTCTCGGGATCGGTATGGACACCGTCCTTGCTGAGGATGTGTCCAAGGAATTGGAGCTTTTCCATTCCAAATTCGCATTTCGACGGTTTTATCGTGAATCCGGCGTCTCTGAGGCAGAGGAGCGTGTTTCTGAACGCCTTCCTGAATTCCTCGAATGTCTTGCCGAAGAATATCACTTCGTCGATGTATGCGAAGACGCCGCCTTGTTTGCGTGCCGGCGCCATAATCTTGTCCATTGTCATTTGGAATGTGGCTGGCCGTTGCAGACGCCAAACGGCATTCGTTTGAACCGGAACATCCCTTCTGGAGTCACGAAGGTAGTGTAGTCCATGGACGCTGGATCATAGGGATTTGCCAGAATCCGGACTGACAATCTACCTTGCCGTAGTAGGCGTTGCCTGCGCATTGATCCAGAAGTTCGTCTGGATTGGGCAATGGATAGTTGTTCTTCTTGGTCACCGAGTTCAGCTTTATGTAATTTTATGCAGAACCGGGTGCCCATGGTCCCGTCGCCGTTTTTCTTCGAGGCGAGGACCACTGGGAAACTCCACGCTGCCATGGACGGTTCAATCACGCCTTGGTCCAACATTTCTTGGACGTGCTTGTTGATGAACTCTCGTCCTTCCAACTCGTTCGGGTTGGGTTCATTTTAATTGGTGCAGCGTCGCCAACTTCTATGACGTGGGTCACTCCTTTAACGTCGCCGTAAGGCTTTTTGGACGTCGGGAATATGGCCGGAGTTCCCATAAGTCCTGACAGGAGTAGAGCGGTCTGCTCTTCGGTCAGGTGATCGCCGAAGTGTGCATTAGCGATGTGAGCGCGGATTTCGCGTTCCACTTCAGGATCTTCCTCTCCGGTTTGGAGGGAATTGATCTTGGCATAATCTTCATCCGAGATTTCCTCGTATGCTCCACTTGGCCCATGTGCTCCTTTCCGGAGTATATGGGCTCTTTGGAATAGTTTGACACCAATATGGTGAAACTGTTGCCATTATGCTGGACTGGTCCGTCGAGCATGGCCAGACTCCGTTTGGTGTCTTGGCTTCCGAGGTACATAAGTTTCTGTCTCGGATCGACAGGATAATCAATGCTGACTTGGACCGGGGTAATGGACTCCGGTGGGAGTTCCACCTTTACAGTTGCCCGGACCATAGCATGGTCGTTAATGGTGCGGTACCGATTTGGATTGTTCCCCGCCGCTTTTGGCCATGGTAAGGCGTCGGCGTTGGGAATTGACCAATCTACGCCGTCCTCCTTGATGTCTGGCTCATATATGTCGCTATAGTACATATGGCCAACTTTTGCACCTTTGCGGAGGATTTGGTCGCGTCGGGACTTGTTTTGGACCTGGATCCACGCATGTTCGCTGTTTCGAGTTTGGACCTCCGCTTCGATCGGTATGACCAAGCGGTGTGGTCGTCTCAGCGATTTAAAGTGGATTGGCCGTCCCGGGTCCATAGTCCGATAGGACGGACCTTAATCCAACAGGTTGAGTAAGCTGGTAGGTGTACCGCTGATGAACGAAAACGACTTCTTTCTCCTCCTTTAAAACGTCGGTTGGACGTTCGGTCCGCAATTTGCGGATTACCGGTACTTCGGCTCAGGTTGAAGAATTTCTGTGTCCTCTTCGTCATCACTGACTCCTCCGATGATTGGTTATCGGAGTCCGTGTCCGGTGAGTCGCTTGAGCTTTGGACGTCCGAATCGGTAGACTCAGGTTTGTCGTCCTGTACTTGTTTGGCTCGCCTTTATCCTCGTTAGAGGTTGGCGGCCGCCGGTCACCGTGGTACCGGTTTGGTATGATCCTTTGGTTGGATCTCTGCGCTCCAGTTGCGATTTCCTGTTTTCAGGTTCGTCCAGTTCCGCCAAAGTGGTTGGACGGCTCCCGTTAGGGAGTGGCGAGGCTAGTCGGCCTTTGCCCAACGTTGAGGTCGAACGGGTTTGTATGGCCGTACAACTTCCGTCTCCACATAGAGGACAAGTCAATTGGACTTCCTCTGATGAAGGGTCCTGCTCGTTCTGGCTGGTGTCCCTTCGATGGCCTCCCTGTTCTGGGTGTGGGCCATCATTGAAGCGCACTTTTGTCGCTATATGCGGTGCTGCTTCCGGCAATGGTTCCGGTATGGTTCTAACGTTAGTCAGGCTCAGGTCATACTTTGGCCATATGCTGACGGTTAAGCCAGGGTGTTGGGCCACTTGTCTTCGAAGTTTTATGATGTCATCGAAGAGATCCGTGCATATCTTTTGAAGGGCTTTCGGCATTTCCATGTGGTACTCCCTGTATTCCCACACTAGGGCTAGACGTTCGTCCTCCCATAATGCTCCTTCTTGACCAAATCGTCCAATTCTTGGGCGGAATGGTCCGTATTGTTCGGCAATTTGCGGCCACGTTAGTGGTTCGCCTTTTCTTCAAGCCAGCTCTCTTCTAGAGCAAGGAGTTGGTTAACGCGGTATTCCAGGAAATTTCTTACTCCTGTGAACCAAGTTTTATAGCGCTGGACCAGGTTCTCCTTAATTTCTCTGTCAGGCACCGGCCGTTGGCCCCAGTGCCTCTGGTATCAGGATAGTCTTTACTATCCCGTGATTTAACTGAGTATGCCTGCACGGAATTGGGTCATGTAACGCTCGATTGCGTTATGGACGCGCAGCTCCCATATGAGGCTTTCAATGGTGTCCAGGCATTCCCAGCAGGTGAAAGTTCGGACAGTCGGTTCGCGAAGCCGATTTATCCGCACCTCATTGTCGGGTCCGGTGCCTCTGGTATCGGGATAGACTACCGCGTCCCAAACGATTTCTTCGTTTGGCTTAAGAACGTAAACTTGGAGTGGAGATAGTCACAGCCAAGTAGTACGTGCACGTCCGTTAACGTCGGTTGGACGAAGAACGTGTGGTGGCTCTTGTATCCCTGCAGTGTCACCGGTACGGTGCAGCAGTGAGAGACCACAAAGGCGGTTTGTCCGCCAACACCAAAATTTTGGTGTTCCGTCCTAATGGCTCTGTTTTGATGCCAT